TCGGGTCACTTTATCGGGCTGGCGGGATCGGGGGCTGCCTCTGGTATCGGTATCGGCGCCTTCGAGCTCAATGTAAGGGTCCTGTGTTGGTTTTATTGGTGTTGTGATTATGGTAGTGATGATTGAGGATGATGGTAGTGTTGTTATATTGCTAATAATGATGGTAACTATGATGATGATGTTAAATGAAATTATGATGATGGTGATGGTAATTTTGATAACTGTATTATATTATCATGATTTTCATTACATTATTATTATTATTATGATATGCTACTACTTCTAGTACTAGCTCTACGATTGCTACTACTATTATTTCTACTACTATTACTGCTACTACTCTTTACCAGTACTATTATTATTATTATTATTATTATTATTATTATTATTATTATCATGGTCATTGTTATTTTACTACTCTTGTGATTGTTGTCAACATTGCTGTTGTTAGTATAATTATCATCAGTAATTGCATTCCCGTTTTCTTTTTAACACAAACTTTGTTATTTTTCCAGGCCATCTATGTGCTTATGCTTCTCGGTTGGATCTTCGTCCCTGTGTACATGAGCTCAGGAGTTTACACAATGCCCGAGTATCTTAGGGAGAGATTTGGAGGCCAGAGGATTAGGATTTACTTGTCTGTCCTGGCTCTAATCTTATACGTCTTCACTAAAATTTCGGTAAGTGCGAAAAGTAGGGTTGGTCTCTCTTTTATGTCTTTAAACGAGTCACCCCTTGGGATTCCTGTTATAGAAAATGAGATTCTTAAAGGGAGAAAATGGGAAATTTATTTGAGGGTTTGCTATTATATTTTTTTCTGTTTGCTTTACGAAAATTTTGGCAAGTGTAAGACTCTTTGTAGGTCTCATTCTGGTGTCTTTAAGCAAGTCGCACCTTTGATTCCTGATATAGAAAACGAGGTTTTTAAAAGAAGAAAATAGAAAAAAAGAAACGCGAGGGTGAACTATTATAATTTCAATATTTCCCCAAGAATTCGCTTTAACCTACCTACAACCGTCACCCTTTCTCTCTCTCTCACAGGCCGATCTGTACGCTGGAGCGCTCTTTATCCAGACAGCCCTGGATAAAGGAGACTCTACCGAATGGCTCTACCTCAGTATCCTTATCCTCCTGGCCATCGCTGCGCTGTTCACTATTACCGGAGGTCTAACGGCTGTTATATGGACCGACTTCGTACAGACTATCTTGATGCTCATTGGCGCCTTCATACTGATGGGAATGTGTAAGTATTTCTTGGACGAGTGGTGTGAGTATGTGTGTGTGAGTGAGGGAGTTGGTGTGAGTGAGGGAGGGTGTGTGAGAGTTGGTGTGAGTGAGGGAGGATGTGAGGGGGTTGGTGTGAGTGAGGTAGTTGGTATGAGTGAGTGAGGGTGGGTGGGTGTATGTTTGGGTGTGGGAGTGAGTGAGGGAGTTGGTATGAGTGAGTGAGGTTGTGAGGGAGTTAGTATGAGGGAATGGATGAGTAAGGAAATGAGTGTGTGTGTGTGTGTGTGTGTGTGTGTGTGTGTGTGTGTGTGTGTGTGTGTGTGTGTGTGTGTGTGTGTGTGTGTGTGTGTGTGTGTGTGTGTGTGTGTACGTGTGTGCATGCCGTGTCGTATGCACATGCATCAGCAAATCATATAATACATTATTTTCCTAATATTGCTACATCAAGTGGAGAACTAGGAAGTAAAATACTTGTTTTCTTGTGTGCAATCTGGAGACTTGAGACACGCGATAAAATATAAGGAAATTGCATAATCTCAGCCTTATCAAACCAAGATGAAAATATAAGATTGACGTGTTTTATCGGTGCAATTCAAGCTGTTTCTGTGTGCACTTCCTGAATCTGCTTGTATACACGCGCGCGCGCACACACACACACAAACATACATATTCAAATATCCATTAATTTATCTATCTACCTATCTATCTATCTATACACAACGCACGCACGCACACACACACACACACACACACACACACACACACACACACACACACACACACACACACACACACACACACACACACACACACACACACACACACACACACACACACCACACACAAACACATCACAAATATAACGGCGTGAGCGTAGCCAATGACCCAACCTAATTTGAATCAAGATGGCGGTTACGTTAGACTCTGGGTGTGTTGTATTTTGATATGTGTATAGATATGTGTATGTGTGTTTGTTTTTGAGTGTGTATATATACTGTATATGTGTATGTGTGCGTGCGTGTGTGTGTGCGTATGCGTGTGCATGCGTGTATATAGTGTGTGCATGAGTGCGTGTATATGTATGCGTGTAATATAAATCTTTATGAATATACATATATACACACAATGAATCCGTTTATATAACTATTTATTTCATACAAATATATGTTTATTACAATACGATATAATCAGTAGATTTTATTGCAACACGAATATGAATGATCCAAAAATAAATAACTAAATGCACAAAATATGCAAAGTCACTTTGAAATAACGAACTCTTTGTCAAACGGTTAATTTTCCTTGTTCAAAAAATGAATGGAAGAATTAAATGTTTTTTCTCGTGCAGTGTTATCGTCCCTGATAAACCTGACAAGCTATATAAAAAGATAAATAATAATAAAAGAATATCAGATAAGTTAAGAGCATAAAAGAAAGAAGAATAAAGGTATATATTAGATAATATAAGGTTCAGAATGGTGGGGGTCTGATGTCACTGTGTTGTATATTAATAAAAAAAAAAAAAAAAAAAAACTTCAGGTTACTTAACTTGAATTTAATTTTTACAGTTAAGCTATAAATTATTCCGTAATTTAAGTTATATATGCAATGTGTATGATATATATATGTGTGTGTATAAATAATTTAACAGATTATATGTTTATTTTTAAAGATTAAAGAAAACACTCAAACATAAACTAAATGGAATATACTAATATCTAATCCATAATTAATAAGCATAAATATATTTCGATTAGGTTTGGTTAAATAGTTCCTATTTTTTTTATCAATATCTTTAACCCATAAAATTGTTCCCGCGTTCTCTATAAAAATGTCTGACTCAGGATCTTTAACCCATAAAAAAATCCCCGAACAACAAATAAACAAATAAACATACATACACCTCTATATAAATCAAATAACACACTCCTCACACGAATGGAAAAGGAATGTGTATATATATAGATAATAAACTTGATAAACTAAACTAATCTCTAAACCCCCCTCCCCCCTTTCCCCCTTACCCCCCCCTAAAAAAAAAAAAAAAAAAAAAAAAAAAAAACAGCTTTCCACGCGGTCGGCGGTTACAACGCTCTAGTTACCGACTACTTCCACGCGATCCCGACCAACACGGTGTACACGGCCGACAACCTGACGAACTGCGGCGAGCCCCCTGCCTATGCCATGGACTTGTTCCGGTCTATTGTACCCGGGGAGTCGGATCTGCCCTGGACGGGTATGCTCTTCGGGGTGACCATCTCGGGTATCTGGTACTGGTGCACGGATCAGGTGGTGTGTCGTTCCGGCATTTGGGTTTATTTTTTGTTTTTTTTTTTTTCTTTTTCTTTTATTTTCTCTTTTTTTTTTTTTTTTTCTCTTTTTTTTTCTTTTTTTTTTTCTTTTTTTGGATTTGTTCCTCTCTTTTCTTTTTTTCTTTTTCTTGGTTTTTGGGATTTTCTCTTGTTTTTTTCTATCTTTTTTTTTTTAATTTGTATTTTGTTGTGTTTTTTCTTGCGCTGTTTTTTTTGTTTTTTTTTTATTATGGGTAGGGGGTGAGGGTGGTGGGAGGAAGAGGAAGAGGAGGGGGAAAGGGGAAGGGTGAGAAGGAGAAAAATGGGAAGGAGAAGGAGATTAAGGAGGAGGGGAGGAGGAAGAGAAGGAACAGGAGGAAAAAAGGAGGGAGAAGGAGAGAAAGAAAGAGGAAAAGGTAGAGGAAGAGGAGGATGGGAGGGAAACGAAGGAGCAGGAGGAATAGCAGCAGCAGAAGGAGGAAGGGAAAGAAGAAGGCAGGAGGAGAAAAGGGAGGAAGAGGAGGAGAAAAAAAGGAGGTGGGGAAGGAGAAAAAAAGGAGAGAGGAGAAAAAGGAGGAAGAGGAGGAAAAATGAGAAAGAAGAGGAGGAGGAGGAGGAAAAATGGAAGTGGAGGAGAAAAAAAGGAGGAGGAGGAGGAGGAAGAGGAAGAGATGAAGGAATGTGTAACCCTTTCTTGTGGGAATTCTTTTCGGGCTTATGTGTGGGAAGGATTTACATGTGGGAGGAGCGTGCGTCTGTGTGCGTCTGTGTGCGTTTGTGTGTATTCGCATTGGGTGGATGTGTGTGACGATGTTCATGTCTGTATGTGTATTTTCTTTGGGGGATGTGATAGTGTTTGTGTGTGTGGGTGTGTCTTTGTCTATGTGTGTATGTGTATTCGCATGTGTGGGCGTGTGTGACGATGTCTACGTGTGTGTATGTATTTGCTTTGGGAGGTTGGGATGGTGTCTGTCTGTATGTGTATATGGTTGAGGGGATGTGAAGGTATCTATGTGTGTATGTGTATGGTGGTGGGGGGGGGGTAGGGGGAGTGATGTTTTTTTTTGTAACTAGAAAAAAAGTATGTATTTATTTCTTGAGTTCCCCCTTCTGATTTCCCATTTTCTGTTTTTTTTATGCTTTTGCTTATTTTTTTTCCAAATGTTTTTTCCTTTCTTGCTATTGTGTGGTTTTTATTTTTTCTCATCATTTTCTTCTTTTCTCTCGATCATCGCGTTTATCTTTTCCTCCATTGATTATCATTAATTCATTTCATTTATTTTATCAACATTTATTCATAATTTCTTTTATCTTTCATTCACCATCTATCGCCGGTAGTTTATTCCTTCTTTCATCATGCATTAATCTATCATATATCACCATTTATTACTTTTTCACCATTCATTCTTTCACCATCTATCGCCCTCTATTCATTACTTTTTCATTCTTCCATATTCATCCATTCATCTTTTTTCAGGAAGA